TAATATTTGACCATTAATGGTTTACCAAAGTGATTTCTGGATAGATTTAAAATGTGTCTAAAGCAGCCGCACACAGATAAAACACGTTTTCTTATGTTCTAAACACTAGAACTCAAAGTCAAAGTACAGGCTGCCCAACCATGCCAAGAAAAGCTAAGAAACTGCACAGTCAGCTGATCCTTTCAGATCACGGGTTACAGTATTCTCGTGTGAGAACGATGTCCGACGAGCAACAGCAGCCGAGTACTTGTACCTCTCCTGCTGGAGGACAGCCATGCCCTGACAGAGGTTTGGCCCGGTGCATGACAACTCCCAGCCGTTTGCTCTTTCTCCATGATGAAGATGTCTGATGGCAAATTCGAGGGCTGAGGTGTTGGAGGATGCAACAACGGGGCTGTGTCTCCTTTCGCCCGGCAGCCTGAGAAAAAAAGAGGAGCAGCTTCGATGTTGATTATATCGAAAAATATCAGACATTTAAAACATTCAAAGCGCAAACAAACAAAAAACATCTTCAGATTCACGCAAAGTGTATTTCTGTTTTCCAAAAGCAGAAGAGAAACTGTTTGACGCACCTCACCTGATGAGAGTCTGTCTCTGCTGCTCGGCTTGACTCACGGCCAATGCTTCTCAGGGTCAAAGGTCATGGCTTCACCCTTTGGCTGGTGATACATTAACATCCGCTGGGAGTCATAAGACATGGGAACCTCGTGTAAACGCTCAAATAGGCACCACGTGGTGCTGTCCCTCTCTGGGGGGTGAGCGAGTTTTCTGCGGTATTTTCTTAAAATAACAAGTGAACTGAATGTGGCATACTGCCAAATAAATAATCGGGCTGGTTGAAAACCTCTGCTTAAATACTTTTAACTATTAACTATAATGTCTTACTTTGTTTGATATATTTTTTTGCAAAATGGAGCATTTTGGACTTATTATTATTCTTGTATAATTTATTTTTGCATTTTCACAAAGCTGCTGATGCTTAGCTCAGTAGCTTTGTAGTAGTTTGTCTAGCAAATCTTGTAGCTTGGCTCAGCTTAGCGTGTTAGCCTGCTAACAGTTGTCAAATGCCCGTCTACTAGATGCCTTCTCATGTCAAACTCCACACCCCCCTTCTCTTACAAAAAACAATCCTGATGACATCAGAAAACATCCTCGTACTCATTTTCTTGGACAGAGTCACAGAGGATATTGTACAACTGTTTGTAAAGGCCGTATTACTCATTGCGATGAGTAACGTGCTAACGTCATATTTATTAGACCTCTGCTCCTCCAAAACACCACTGTGAGGAATGTCTGGACGTGTGTCATTTTGAGTCCCTTAATTCATCATTTAGTCAATTTAGATGAACTTTGTGTCCTTTTAGTCTGAACCTCAGTTAGATAATCATTGGAGTTTTGTTTGTTTTATTTTCAAGTCCACTGAATTATCATTGGTAGGGAATACATTAGGTATTTCCTTATTCTTTGGTCTCCAGATACACTGAAGTTAAATACAGTAGACCGGATTAGGTGGAATATCAATATTCATTATTTTACTTTCATGTCAAAATCCTTATGAAACTAGTGCCTCTGAAGCTTTAACCGTTTAAATGCTTTGTGTTTTGTCGTTGCTAACAGACCTGAAACCAGCGCGTGCTCCTTATCTGAAGCGCTTCACTATATGCAGGTTGTCTTCTAGAAGAAATGTTACACACCGTTGCCTACATTTGCATTATATAAGCTTGTATATCATCTGAAATAAATTATTTAGCTTTGTGCTAAACTAAGCTACCCCGCTGCTGGCTTTACCTCCATATTCATAGTGTATAAATGAACTGACTCATGGCAAGAAAACTAACAATTGTATTTTCAAAAAGTACCCCTTTAAGTGACTGCACTGAATACTTGAAATACTGAAAGTTACTGTTTTAGGGAGAAAAGTGTTAGTTGTGATACAGTCTCTCTTTGCCATCATCAGGTTTTCCATATGAAATGCAAGAGATGCACTTTCATAGATAAGTACTTGGAACCGATCACTCGTGACATGACCTTTAGCGTAGCAAAGAAGCTGCTCTGCATAAAAAAAACTCTCAGGAAGCCAAGCTAACTTTTTAAAACTCCATATACAAGAAGAGTCTCATCTCAGATTAGGAACGGCTTTCCCGAAGATCTTCCTTTAATGAGAGGGGATTAATTTAAAGTTGAAATAATGTGCAAACCCAACTATTCAGGTCAGTCAACAGAGCCTTTAGTAACCTGAGGACATGAAATACTCTATTTAATCCACTTTGAAAAACTTCAAAAGACAGTAAAGGCTCAAAATGATTATTGCCATATACCAGCACAAAGGGGGGTTGGGTTTCCTTTTATTAAAAGGACAACATTTCCCAACATTGACAGTGAAGCAGTCAGTAGATGTGCCTCAGGCGAAGCTGGAACCAACGTGACCTGGGACCTGTCTGTCTGTGTGTGTTGTCGCCTTGTCATCACGTGGGCTGTTTTTGGCACCAGTTTCCGCTTTTGCTTCTTAAAGTCACTCAGCTCAATGTAAACGTTCACTTACCACAAAGTTCAGACGCATGGAAACAACTTTGTCGGCGACTGTCTTACTGAGGGCGAGTGGGTATCACAACATATGGGCCGCGTTCTGCCTTTTACCGTCGCTGAACTCCCGCTGAACTTCTGGGTACACTTTACACGCACAGAACAAGTGCTTACTTTAATTAAATAACAGTTTACATTCACACTACCGAAGCAAACTTAAGCAGAGCACGAAGGACACACTGTGTCCTCTACACACCTTTTAATGAATAGAAAATGATCAGTTAACTAGTAAATTTGAAAGTATAATATGCAATAATTTCCTAGTAAAATGCTTTCATACACAACATGTAAAACACTGAAGAAACATTCAAAACCAGTCTGACCATAGTACAGACAAAGATCTTTTGACAGCAGCCATATTGGAAAATGGGACAAGTGACACCACTAAAACTAAAAGGAGTTGACGAAGCTCACCTTGAGCTGCCCATACAATTTGATCAGCATTGCGACAATAAAGAAAAAATGATTTAGCTTTGGCTCATTACTCATTTGGCGCTTTACGTCTGCAGCCGTAGGAGGAAAGAAACCACAGAGGGCCAGAGCGCGTAACAGCGACTTATTGGAAGACAAAGATAAAGGTTTATCTTCAGGAAGTACACATGATCACAGATGGATGATAACTAGTAGAAAACACAGCTCTCTCACTTCTTCCTACAGAATCCCACCAGTCAAATGTTTTTAATGTCAAAGGACGGGTCTCTCGAGGTAAGCAGATTGCCAGAAAGGATTAATCATTTCACAAAGTCAAAGTTGGTCTGCAAAAACCATTGAAACAGCTCGACTCAAAGAGGATAGTCGAGCATTCAATTTGCTTTTTTAGGAAATAGCCAAAGCTTTTATCCTTATCATCCTCTACAAGAAAGAATCCCATCAGTCCTAAAATAGAGGAATCAGAATCAGGAACATTTATTACCAAAATATGTCAGGCATACAAGGAGTTTGACAGTAAGACAATGGAAAACAAGACAGATAAGACAACGTGAAGAACAACATAATGCAAAAGGGAATTACATTTTTCTAAATAAAGTGCACCAGCGAACAGAAAGTGGCAAGTGTCCGTGCATGTGGAGTGTGACGGGAGTGACCGGTGGGATGTCAGAGTTTTCTGTCGACTGCTGACGGGAAGAAGCTGTTTGTGTGGCGGGAGGTCTTAGTCCTGATGGACCTCAGCCTCCTGCCAGATGGAAGGGGGACAAACAGATTGTGTCCGGGGTGAGAGGGGTCGGCAACAATCTTTTTAGCTCGCTTCAGGGTCCTGGAAGCGTCCTGGAGGGACCTCAATTAATGATGATCAATGACTGGACTTCTGTGTATAAAAGCAGTTCGAAAATACATCAGTGGAAAGAGTCAAATCCCTTAGAAAGAATTTCAAACAAATAACAGATAAGAAAGTCTATTTAAGTGAATCCATGGTTTTACTTTGGTCCTTGATTATCCCAGATCTGTCACCCAAATGAAGAGTTTTGTTGCTTCTGATATTATGAGTCCCCTGTAACTGCATCAAACACATGTAGAAATGATTCATATGTCCCTTCAATTACATTAAAAATATCAGTTGCAGTTATTTTCGTGCCTCTGCTGCACTTGGTTGGATACATGAAGTTTTCTCAGTGGATGATTCATGTTCTTATGTGTCTGATCCCAAGGTCCTGAGGAGTCTACAGAGGACAAACAAGGTCACTTGGGTTGATGTAATTTTTCAGGTGCACATTACTCCGTTTTGTCTTTACATAGACGATAATGTTGCTGTAGCAATGTTGTATATCGCTCTTTTAAGGAAGTACATTCACATGGATTTTTGCAGAATCGTTTTGATTTGAGAATAGTAGGATGTGGCTGCCCTTTAAGTGCTGATTAATGTGTTAAACTGATTTAGGTGATACTGTAAGTTACCCAGAAAATCCTTGCTTTGACTTTCATGAGTTACAACGTCACCTATTCTGTGCTAGTGGCTTGGCTACAACCTACACGTGTACAGCCCCAGTGTACTGACCACAGACAGATGGTTTTAAGTGCATTGGCAAATTAAATGAATTTACATTAAAGAAAAATATAAATGGAGCACGGACGGCCGAGAGGTCCCATGGTTTACAGCGAGCCGGAGGGCATTCCGGTCAACGTTGGAGTTTCCGCGCCGTGGCATCACTTAAGTGGTTTGTTTGTTCTATGAGATGCCAGCTCCCTTTGGTGGTATGAGCAGTGGTGGTTTACCTTTTGGAGAGGTGTTGTGTTCAGTCTTTTAAGGTCGGCTGCAGACAGAAACGCTCCTCACTGTAAACATGAGTCACACTGAAATGGATGTGATGGCTGGAGAGTCAGAGCGGGCCTTAAGTGCATCGACGTCGTGTGTCTGTGTGTGTTCTCGATGTCCATCGGCTGTCCCTCGTTCCTCAAACCACGTAAAGTACTGTGAGATAATTGTAAAGTGCTTTTGAGCAAAAAAGCGCCCCCTGATTCCCGTTCACTCGATGTAACTCAGTGATCAGAACTGAGATGAAACAGGATTTAAACACGTTGATAGTTTAAAGACACAAAACATGAATAACGTGAAACATGAAAGGAAGCGTGGGAGTCCATTAATGGCCCAGTTAATCAGAATTAAAGTAAACATATTTTTATTCCTGCACCTTTAATGAAATTCAAGGCTAAATATAACCCTGGTCTGCTCAAAGCAATCTACACGTTATTTGTCCGTCAATTAGTACACTAGGTAAACTGACCCTTTACAGGATTACAGTAAAAATAAAACGTCATTATTATTTAATTCAATGACCTCACGTGTCACTATCAAACCTCTATGATATAAGTTGATTAAAATGATGCTGTATGCATTTATTTTTAGTTTTCATCCAAGTATGACTCTGTCACTGAATTGACGCGTCGTTTCCAATCATTATTTACTCACCGGCCAGTCCAGTGGGACCAGCTGACTGCTGCTACGACCATTACGCGGAGCTGTGTGCTCCAACGTGGAAACGTGGATTAAACGGAAAGGAAAGCGCGTATTTTGTTTTTCCATCACTTACAGTCAAACCTTCCCCATCCATCCGGGCCGGTGGGTGTTCACTACATTAGACAGTCCCGCCCCTCCTCTCACAGAGGCGCGCTTCGACCTCCGGGGAGCCAGAGGAGGGATGAGCCCTTAGAAAAAATGCGCCCACTGAATCCTAGTTACCGTTTATAAACCCCTAAATCCAGACAAATAACAGATAAAGGAACACAGCTGCGTGCTTCGCGATGGAGAGACTGAACTTTACGCACGGACCTGCCTCCACGAACGGGACGCCCATGCAGCCTTCACATGCGAACGATTTCGCTTTACCGATGTTCATGTTTGCCGGAGGCGCCATTGGGAATTTAATTGCCATATTCGTTCTCTCGGTATCAATACGGGAGAGGAAATCTTCAGCTTTCTACACGCTGGTGTGCGGTCTGGCGGTGACGGATCTCCTCGGCACCTGCCTGGCCAGCCCGCTCACCATCGCCAACTACCTGAACCCGAACGTGCTCAAGATCCCGCGCGTGTGCGAGTTTCACTCCTTCCTGCTGCTGTTTTTCGGTTTAACGGGACTGAGCATCATATGCGCCATGGCGGCCGAGCGGTACCTGGCCATATGCTGCCCGTACACCTACCAGCGGTGGCGGGTGGACCCGCGGCCTTCGCGCTGAAGTTCCTCTTCTCCATCTACGTCAGCCACACCGTCTTCTGCTGCCTGCCGGCGATGGGCGCGTCGGCCAGCGAGCTGCAACTGTCCGGCACGTGGTGCTTCATCAACTGGAGGACACCGGAGCCCGTGGCCGCCGCGTACTGCGTCCTGTACGGCGTCGTCAGCCTGCTGCTCATCCTGGGCACCATCGCGCTGAACCTGGCGGTGTGCTCGGCGCTGCTGCTGATGCGGCGGAGTAGCGCGCGGCTGCCCGCCACCGGGGGCAGCGTGAGGCGCAGGTGGACGGCGCTGTCCTCCACGGCGGAGGCGCAGATGATCGCGGTACTGGTGACGACCTCCGTGGTGGTTCTGGCCTGCTCGGCCCCGTTGGTGGTGAATTCCCTTATTGATGCTGCTCATGGGTCCTCTCTCTCTCTCTCTCTCTCTCTCTCTCTCTCTCTCTCTCTCTCTGAACAGAAATAGTGTGAGAAAAGGGGGTTCGCACGTTATGTTGTGAGGTTTAGCCACGTTGCATGCGTTGTTAACAGGAGTATCCAGATGGAACATATGAAATAGAAGTAGGCACAGTATCAGTCAGAGGTTTCAAGGCGCTTTCTCACTCATTCATGAGAAAATGTGCCCATGCAGAACTGGATTATTGTGTACACTCAATAATGCAAAATGTAATCTCATTATGATGACTTACAGGACCTGTTTTTCAGTGGCTCACATGGGCTTCCATACATTAACCTACAACAGATGTAGATGGATTGTGATTGACTGCACTTGTATTTTCACCACTTCATAAAATATATGTAACATCCAGTTGAATCACGGTATTCTGCTATTATCGCAAATTGACAGCTTTAACTGTTTATTCATGACATTGGCCGTTCATTTACAAGGGATGGAAATTTAACTGTATGTTACAGTTATCACATACTGTAAGATACTGTTAGAAATGCACCGTTACAGCAATTTGTTACAGTGTAGGCAGAATGTTGTGTTTTAGATCTTGGCAGTTGAATCTAATGCATTTTACGTGAAATAATGTACTGTACAGTATTCATAGACATTAAACCTCTGACACGGGGTCACCTGTTGAAATGTACTGCACAAGCCAGACAGAACCAGTGGTTTACGTCTTAGGGTTAAAATAATGGGATGGTACACTTTTTTGAAGTGGAGTGCCAGATGAATATTAAAAATTAGGAAATATTCCAGTTGATATCAAACTCTATATGTGAAAACCCTTACTTGCTATTTAACATATTTTTTCTCCTCATAGATCCGTGTGTTTCACAACTGTTTCATTCTGGAACAAGACCCCAAAGCTGACCTGGCTTCCATCCGGATAGCCTCTGTGAACCCCATCCTGGACCCCTGGATCTACATCCTCCTCAGGAGGTCTCTGTTCCAGCGGATATTGAGTCTAACCAGGCGAGGAAGGAGGACACGCGGTGGCTCCTCTCCTAAAACACCAAGGAACCCGTTTCATCCCGAACTCACGGGGGAGAGTCCCGTTTTGACCCAGCTGATAGGCAACGCAAACATCACCGCTCTGCTGCCTTCTGCCGTCAAGTCCCCCACGCACAATGCAGACAGCCTCTGCCAGACTCCGACAGACTGAGGACGTGGTCTACGTAGGTCTGGCGCTCTCTCGTGCTGCGAGCAGCTCGATGCATTGGCCCTCACAGCTGTTGTCAGAGGGACGGAAAGACGGACGTCTCTGCCGACACACAATCTGGACGGGACCCTCTGGGTTACTGAAAGTTTATTCACCAACTAAAATTCGCTCATCTGCGTTTTCACAGACGTCTCCTGCAGTAACGCAGGACAGAATGAACAGTGGGACTGTGATGTTATTAGTGAAGGGCGATGATAAGACGGGTTGCAGCCTTTATTTTGTTCCTTTCACTGTCTTCGAGCTTCGCCTCGCGCGATCAGGGCTCAGATCAGCTTTACATAAGCGAAGGTACAGCTCGTTTCATCGGGAGGTGCAATAATTGACAAGATACTAGCGTGAGACTTGGTGTCTTTTGTCTCCATCTCGTGTCTGCTGTGATCAGATGGTGCTGATCACCTTTGAACCCTCTTCTTACATTTCACATTAACATAAACTTACGGTGATCCTGACATTCAACTGCCTACCAAATGCGCTCCGCAGCTTTTAAGGTCATATTATGTTTCTGTTGAGGAATTTAACTCCATGTAAACTGGATGGACACTCAATGCGTCACAGACTATTCTTTGTGGTCTCCTAGACCTTTACCGCATTGGTGCTGACGCTAGGATGCACCTGTACTGCAGCATCATGACAGGTATGATGGGGCTTCATCGGCAGGACTTTCTTTTCAGAATGTTGTTAAAAATGTCTCCCGGGAGCCTTCTGCAGAGTTGCTGACATTGATACTGCATGAAATTATTTTAACGGTTAATTAATACTTTCCAGCTACAGACAGTTGCCTCCACAAATTCATCCTACATTCTTGGTCACTTAAGTGATATTCAGATGTTTTAATTTGAATTAACTGGGTTGAACTGGTATATAATGACTTTGGTTCCTTGGTGCAGACAGAGGACAGTAGACGGTTTCTTTAACCGGAAACCTTAAAAAAGGACCCCAATTAACACCTGCTATCATAAATTGAACTGAATTGAAATTGAACGTGACACAGCAATATGTAAAATTATCATTCAAGTTTAGCTGGTAAATAATTCTGTATTCCTGCTGCATTAATACAAGCATTCATTAATAAAGATATTCACTTTGTTCAGTATTCCATAATGCATTTATTCCTTTCCCAACATTTAAAAATTCCATTTACTAAAGATAAGCAGACAACACTGTGCATAGCTGCACTTCAGTACAACATTTTTGTACCCGGACATAAATAAAAAAAATCTATGAACATCCATCTGCCTGGAGATCAATTGCAGACGAACAAAAAAATGTTACAATGTTTATAAAGTAAGCTTTCCTTCTCCATTCGCTAACATTTACATTCCAGTTGAAAGCATAAAAGGGAGACTAAACATCCGAATCATCAGTTTTATCCCAGTTAAGCTCACTATACAGAAACATTTGTATAAATTGGAAGGAAACTCATAAACCACACGTCCTACATGTCACAGGTAATTACTTTTATCTTGCTCACCTGCAAACAAGGCGCCTGTCTTCAGGTGCACCAGCACCAAAAAGTGTTGCACCTTTTTCCCGAAAGCTTTTGGCAACATGAGGAAGAAAACACTTATAAATTCAAAAGTCTAAACACATCCGCTGCAGCAGCAGACCGTGACGTCGACCACGAGCGCGTCGGATGAGACTTTCTGCAGGTTGCATGTGAACGTTACATTCTAGAGTGAAAAGATTTTGTTGTTCGCTTGTTTAATAGTTTGGTTTGGACGTCTCACTGCTGTATACAATCCAATCACATTTCTCAGCTCTTGATATGTTTTGATGTTAAGTATTTTCAGGTAAAACCTCTATCTAATCACACAAGGGACGTACGAGGAGACCTCAACAAGATGTAGTGAATCCGACTGGCAGATGAAGTCTCCATTTTGTTTCTTGAAATGTCCCTAGCGAGCTAATGTTGATGGTTTTTGAAAGCAATTATGATGATTTCCCCCCTATTTACTATTTATTACTTTACAAAAATATTTGGGGCACAATCAGATGTCTAAGACATCAATGATCCACCTGTTGAAGACATTTCCCCAAAATCCTACAAAGAATGTCAGCTACAAACTATCTCAGCACTTAAGTTTTAAATGTAAATGACATTGTTTTTATTATTACTGATACTAGTTTGTCTCTGGCCCAGTGAGCTGTGATTCCTCCAGACTAAATAATGTGACAGTGTTATTCAGAGATGACAAACGCAGTGCAGAAAATAGAGGCCATATTAATAACGCACCATCTTCTCACCCACATCTGTGGGGAAGCTGAAAAACCCTACACAAGCAAAAACTGACCCCTTTACAAAAATGTAAACAACATTGTCCTTACAAAATAAATGAGCACAAATACCATGTCGATTTCCAACAAAAAAGTGACCTTATATTGCTGCAGTTATGTGCTCGGTGCTCACATATCCTACAATAGGAAGAGCAAGGGACAGATGTTTCCTAAATTAAGTAGTACTTCAAGCCGTTAAACGCTTTTCTATAATAAATGATTATTAGTTCACAGCTTTGTAGACAATGCACAGCAATAAAACCACTTCAATTACAGTTGAATCTTTAATTGCAAATGCAAACCTGTTATTTCATGAATGTCTCATTTTCAATGTGTTCTGAACTGCCGGCCACCAGCACGAGGAAAGAAAGCTTTTGAGTAAAACGCCACACCCTTAAAGTCACTTAACAGAACATCACAATGCTTTTCACATTTTGTTGTTTTATGATGTGAAAACTGAAACCAGGCCTGTGTTTAAAAGAAAGAAACAGGGGACGATGCAGCTTTGGTTCAAGCTGAACAGTCTGATGGAAGAGAAAATCTCCCCCAGCCGGAGAGGCCTCGCAGATCAATAAATACCAATAATCAATTTGAGAAATGCAAAATAATACATGTTAACGTCTTATATTTTTACATGGTTAGACTCCCTCAGAAAGATGGAACACGAAACTTCTTACAGTACGCCTGCCAAAAGGCTTGGTTTTGCTAAATCTAATGATTTATGAATCGTGAATTTAAAAGTGCGCTCCATGATAACCAACAGTGAGATGAATTGTTCTGTTGGGGTGAAGGACAGATGTGTGGTCATTGACAACTCTGGGTGACAGAACTGGTCTCACTCTGGGGAGTTCCTCTTTGTTTAAAGACATGGAGGCGGCGTGACGAAAAGATGGCGGTTAAAACACTTTGTGACCACGACCGAATGTTCACTCATCTGCAGTTTTCAAGCAGTAGTTTCTTGCAGATATGTTTTTCTTTTTTATTATTTTTCTTTAAGCGTTTTTGTTTAGGCACTTGTAATTTTGAGGGACATTGGAAAGTGAGTGCAATCTAAATGCTACTGTTGCCATGCCAACATACCCAAAATGACAATGCTAACATGCTGATATTCATCATGTATATTTACCATGTTCACCGTGTTAGTATAGCATGCTAGTATGCTAACATTAACGCTAAACACAGAGTACAGCTGAGGCTGATGGGAATTGTCCTTGTGCAGGAATTAAGTGATGAATTTTGACCTGGTCAGGACGCAAGAACAAAGTCAGAAGGTCACAAGAGTCACAATCCACCGTGAGGCGGAAACAAATAACAACTAATGTTAGACAATCAGTTCAAACGCTTAAAACCACAAAAATCAACTGAGTGATTTATCACCAGAAGACCATGAATACCTGGTGGTGGAGTAACATTTCCATCCATGGAGCTAGCATCAGGGAAATGCCCTACTTAATTCATTATTATGTCATCGCACCAAATCTGAAGACTGAGGCCCGATGAGCGTCAGACTCGCCTGCATGAAGAGTTTAAAGAATGCATTGCGTAACAATTCAAACTGATTTTTCGTCTTCACATCATTACAGCGGTGGCTCATGTAGAAAAATGATGTACCTTAATACGAAATGCCCCAAACCAGCATGTTACAGTTTTCTGCTGATGTTTGTTCATTTAAAAAAATGTTGGACTGTTGTTTTGGCGCAAGTTAACATTCACCAATAATTACAGCTGACAACATTTCTTCTGAAAGTGAAAAAATAAAATAACCCAAAATCAAAAAGTATGGCTAGTTGTGAAAACAAAACTTATTCAGACAGTTCAGGGAAGGTCGTTCATCAGCTACCAGTCCACCTGCTGGGACACTGGGCCAAAAGTCCTGAAACCAGGTGATTAAAGTAGTTTCCTCTCAAACAAATCACATACAGATGGTACCAAACTAATAAATAAACAACGACACACAGCAGACCTGTCAGGAAGTGAAGTTTAGAAACGGAGGAGGGCGGGAGAGGTCACGCCGCCGGCCGCCTCGTTCTCCCCATCCAGAACAAACAGCGCTTGCCTTCAGTCTGGTGTTGGGAGCCGGGCTGTGTCCCGCTGCTGGGAGGGGGGGGGGGGGGGGGGGGTGGCGGCTACACAGTCATGTCTATGACGGACCCCTCCCTCACACCACGTACTGGTGGTCGCTGTTGTATTTTGACGTGTAGGCCTGCCGGCTGTACTGGAAGTGGTCGGTGAGCACGTTGTTCCAGTTGTGCTGCTGCTCTGAGCCGTGGTGGAAAGGCACTGAGCCGTTGGCCTGGAGCTTCTCCAGCACCGGGTTGTCAAAGGACACCAGGTCCTGATTGGAGCTTGGCAGCTTTTTCTTCTCCTTGTTGGCGTCATACTTGGCCTGTTGGTAGAGACAGACAAGTAGAGTTTAAACAAGTGGGTCTCCTGCAGCAAGGAAAGAAATGTGGAGAATATCCGACACACCCGGACTATAAAAGAGAAAAATGATTCTAGTCTCCTCGCTTCTGCCTTCCCTCTTTCCTAATTCCTCCCTTAACCCCCCTTCCTTCATTCAAGCGGTCCGGTCAGCTCACCTTGTTGTAGAGGAAGACCCCGACAATGGCCGTCATCATACCCATGACGTTGGTGAGGGTGACCGGGTTGCGCAGCATCAGCAACGAGATGCTGATGACCATGATCCTCTTGGTGGCGTTGGCGACGGCGTAGCTGAGCGGGCTGACGATGTTCAGCACGCTGAAGGCGATGACGTTCTGAGCGAAGTTGCAAAATCCGCTGATGAGCAGAAGGACAAAGGTCCCCGTCCATTCTGAGACGTCGGCCTGGAAGGACAGCAGCGCGCTCGGAGTCACAAAACACGCCGGATGCCGCCCAACTGCGTCGACGTCGCAAAAAGACGGCGCCGTTACTCACCAGATCACCATTAACCAGAAACACAGAGAGATCCACCAGAACCCAGGTGGGCACCATGAAGATGACAGCATTAAAGCCCAGGATGTTGAGCAGCCTTAAGTGGTGGATCCTCGTGTCGCGCAACACCTTCAGGGAGGAAAGGTTCAATTTAGGAAAACAGAGTCAACTTCAACCGCCTCCTTAAAACAATCCCTCAAGGTAAACCTAAATAATCAGAGCCATGGTAGTTTTTAAATGGGGTGTCTTTTTTCACCAACTCGACGGTTGTGATCAATAATCAGTGTGATGTGTTGTGCTGGTACCGAATTACCGGACAGGCAAAGAAAGAAAGAAATTGGGGGACGTTGTTTGAATGGAATAATCTGGCAGACGCAGTTGGGGTATCTGAACTACACAAATTCACCTCAAACACATTTATCACAACACCGGTACATACAGAAATAATGGAAAGACTCCTCTGATGCAGTGTTAATTTCGTCGACGAAAACTATGACGAAAAATTTCCGTTAACGAACCTTTTTTCCATGACTAAGACGTGATGAAAAACGATCTTAAAAAATAAAAACTATGACTAAATCTATTCTAACTTTCGTTAACGAGACGAGACTCACATGTTGGTGGTTGACGAAGTCACGATACTTTTCCCCCCTAAATTCGCACGCAGCCAACAGACAACAGACAGACAAAGTACGGCGGATATTAACGTGTCATGATGACGTCATCCACGAACCCAGAACGCTCGCAGCGGTGCAGCGGTGGTTCTTGCACCGACTACGGACCGCGACGACTATTTTACGCTTCGGCGAGTTTGAATGTGGCTTCGTTAGTTTAGCTCAGCTGTCTCGGTTTAGCTGACTGTTAGCAGGCTGAAGCCGCGCTGCTTCACAGAAACATGAAGACCCGTTTAAAGACTGTCGGACCTTTCTGCTCTGTTCTCTGGCGACGGCAGGCAGCGTTTCCTCGGATGGATGAGACGGTCCGTTACAAACGCGTCTAACATAATACACTCATTGCAGGTTCTGAAGCCAAGAAAATAATGTATTGCACCGATTGTAGGACGTTAAGGGGTCTCTTTTGTTGGGACAGTGGAAACAATAAAGGACCATGAAGTTTCAAAAGCATTGCAAGTAAACAGACAAAGACAACAAAGTGTTGCGTTTAGATCCCTGGTCCTCATGAAGTTGTTACACCTTTGCCAATTTGTTAAATTGCCTTGCAAATAAATGCTTTGCTCTTTGTTAAAATCCAAATCCTTTCATGTAATGATTTTTCACATGTCATTTATATCAGCTCACACAAACACTTCAACCATTTGTTCTTGGCCCGGCTCCTCCGTCACATTTTACAACCCGTTGTGGCCCGCGAGTCAAAAAGTTTGCCGACCGCTGCTATAGACCTGTCCTAGGAGGGACATCTAATGGACAACCAAGTACTACAAGCTAGACTATTATGCAGCTGTAGACACAGCACAGGGGGTCCCTGGGCCTGAGAAGGGAAGAAAAGGAGTTTAATATGGCTATTTAATGTGACTAAAACTAATTACATTTTAGTCTAGTTTTCGTCGACGAAAACTAGACTAAAACAAAGAAGGATTAAAATGACTAAATGTGACTAAAACTAATATGCATTTTTCGTCTAAAGACTAAGACTAAATCAAAAATAGCTGCCAAAATTAACACTGCTCCAATGAAAGTTAGAGGTTCCTTATGAAACCTTAGTTGCCACTTCTGTTTGTTTTTTTTTAAACAAAACATGGCACCTAAAAAAAATAAAATAATGCACGGTCACACAAGTTCACAAACCAGGAGGTTCAGGTCCAGGACTTTCACAGAAAAGCCACCAGGTTGATTTCAATTCCACCCACTGACACCCGCCTGAGTGGGATTTACCTTCTTGGAGAAGATGTTCTGCAGAGAGAAGCAGAGCGTGGCAGCCAGAGCACTGATGAGTCCAGACACGTCGAAGGACAGCTCCGTCGCCGTGGCCAGCAGCACTCCCCCAATGATGGGGATGAGCGATACGTAAACCTACAAAAAAGGGGAAAAAGGGACCACAGAGATGCAATAAACACTTCAGTTTTATCAAAACAGCAGTCGCTCCTTTGGGGGCTGTTTCCTAATCAAGCGAATTGTTGGTTGCATTCCTCTGAAGATGAGCGGCCTGTTGTCTGGCTTGTAAAAGTAATAGCTGTGCAGTCAAAAAAAATCAATAACCCTTTATCACAGTAACTGGAAGTCTAATAATGGTGTATTTCTTTGCATAGAAAATGTATTTTCTATGCAAAGAAAAAACAAAATACATATTTTTCCAACATCTTTGAAATAGAAAATGAACCCTTCTATCTGACACCACACAAACGTCACAGGCCGTTACGGCAAGATTTATTTACTTTTTGAAATTGCTGAATCCCTCGTGTATCCACTCACTAAGCCATTCTGTCCTCCTCAAACCAACCACACAGACAGAAAACTGCACTGAAAAGTAATTTCTCTCGTAAAGAAATAATAATCACAAACATAAGAAACAAGAATGAGGATCTCTGTTGCAACAGTATCAAAACAAAAAAATAATAACTAGTTGGGTATGTGCTTTAGCCAAAACACGACTAAACTCTTCCCCAAAACGTTGGTTGTCGGTTGATGATTAAACATTTTAAAACAGGATGTGGTGCTAGAAAGGAACTTTGTTATATCCTTTGTAAATGCACAGATCATGCAGTTAAAACAGTATGTTTAACTCAAGCACACTTTGTGAGGCGGCTCCACCGTAAACTCTACATTTATGATGCTGGGTGCAATTTTCACGCATTGTGATGTTTGAACAGCCGGCATTCAGCACAGCAGAGTTAAATACGAAACCTCTGAACTGAGATACATTGCCTTTCACAGAGTAGTTGGTCGTGATCTTCTGGTTCTTCGGTACAGCGCATGTGAGGCCCGCTGCTCCTCAAACAAGACCTCGTCACACACACACACGTCATCAACACCTACGTTCCGGGTCCACGGGTCGAGTAAACACGACGCACTGCTGTGAGACTCAAAAGGTGCCATAATTCACATTTGGCTGAGCTAGATTGTAAGATGTTCAACCAACAGGATTAACCGACAGCATCTATTCCAGAGATGTTCAACGGTGCTCTTGTTAAGGCCTCCCTCTTTCTTTGAATCAAGATCTGATTTGTTTTCAATGACAGCGCTGCAAGTTCAAGCTATAATATAGTAGATAATCAATTTGGCAGTTGATCTGATCTCACCCATGCATTCATAAAATGATATGATAGGTGTTAACTGAGATCATCCTCACCATCGCAATCAATGCAAGAAAGTGCAAAATTTCTAAAGCCTCACATTAAGCCAAAGAAGGAAATCCCAGAGATAAAAAAAACATACATCACTTTATTTAAGACCCTGTGCTGCTTTCAGGGAACCTGAAAAATAAACCTGCCACTTTTCGATCTTGGCGTCACTGAAATAGATATCCTAAATTACAAATAAATACCTTCATACTTTACAGGTTTCCTTCCTCTAACAGAGCTATTTTGAGGATTTAAAAAGGAACTCATGTCAAACAATGAATGGATGCGCCTTACAGGTTATTTGTTTCCTAAAGACCAGAAAATCTAGTTCTCATTATACTCTGCACTGGAAACTACCTAAAGCCTCTGCAGCAGCTGCACAAAGCGCCTACAGTATGAAATGTAAGTGAGTCAATTTAGGGATTTCTAAGTTTAAATAAAAGGTAAAGGTTAAGGAATACGCCCCTCCAACCCTCCCAGAAGAAACACTTGATCAACTTCAGGGCCAAAAGCCCCTGCAGGTGGCTGTAATATGACACTCGGTACAATGCCACATCACCACTGCGCAGTCTGAGGCAGCGAGGCCGCCTCGGGGTGAAAGAGAGCGAGCTCTGTGCAACAACGTTCTCACCTTGGTGGTTTGCTTCTCCTTCATGATAATCCTTGATAAAAGCACCACCCATATTGGCATTGTGGCTTTCACTGTGAAGAGAAACAAAGAACAACGTCAGTTTGGAAGCGTGACACTGCGTTTGTTTCCGTGACACACGCGGAACAAAATCTTCATCAAACACACCTTGCGTACATTTGGGTTTGTCCCGGTGAGTGTTACCAACAACAATGAACGAGGTTGGTTTAAGATCGGATACTCCCTTTTTATTTAAAAAGGGGCCTAAAAGCCATCGAAAACACATACTTCGATTGTGAAGCATCAAAACTACAATCAGCACTGTTGAAAACTGATCACCGAGGTTGAGAGAGAGAGAGAGAGAGAGAGAGAGAGAGAGAGAGAGAGAGAGAGAGAGAGAGAGAGAGAGAGAGAGAGAGAGAGAGAGAGAGAGGGCAACTCTGACATTGTGTTATCAGGTTTTTTTTAAATGATATTTACAACTTTGTTAACACTGGGTTAACAATGGGTATTTAAAATAGGTTGGACGATGTCTTAGTAGGCCAACCGCTGAAGTGAGCATTGCCCTGGTTCCCTCAAAAGAAATCCAGTGGGATTGTCAATTGGGTGTTGAAATACTGCAGAAAATGAGCTCCTAGGCAAAGATTATCTTCATACATTGAAAAACAACATTGACGAATATCAAAGCACAAATGCAATTGGCAGAGGTAAAAGGTTAATGTTGAAAGAACAAAAAATATTCAATAAAAATGTATTGTATTGTATTGTACATGGTCAAATTGTAGTGTACATGTTAAACAAAGATGTACAGTGGGAGTACTGGTGTGAGGAATGGGATGTATTCACTGCAGTGGTTTCAGCTTGTAAACCCAGTTGAGACTTGGCCAAATTAGGTGCTAAGACAACACAGGTTCTTTAAGGTTGTGTTTGGGCAATTTTAAGTGCACCAATATAAGCACTCAGGTGGCAGTAATTTTAGGAAGCCCTAATTAGCGTATAACAGCTACTTCAAGGTTAACAGAATATTTTAGTGAAGTAAAGCAGTCTTAATAGGCCTGCAATAAATCCCACTGTCACGAAAGCCGCTCAGCTTTTATTTGTTAAATAGTAGTGTTATCAGACTGAACTAACTTGGTTTTGGCGTGGTGTGACGTCAAGTTACCCAACAGAGAGGCACCACAGAAACAAAATCAGCTGATTTCGATTCGGCAAAGATCAAAAGGTGAAGACGGCCACGCAGTAATGGACCCCCCCACCTGACGTAGTAACTATACGAGCCATAGTTAAGTTGGCTAGCTAGCTAACACCAGCAAGGTAACGTTAGTGATTTTTAAATATAACCTAAAGCTGACACATTTGTAGTTAGAGGACCCGAGGAAAACGCATCTCCCCCACAAAAGCCTGTCCTTTCAGGACCTTCACGACGCCAGACCACTGCGGGGCCCGGCAGCGAGTTAATTAACGAATGTTGGTGCCGCAGAGTTGTCCGGCGTTAGCCGCGAAGCTAACATCAGCTGACGGCTACAGACACATCGTCGAGTTACCTCCGGTTATCACGTTATCTCCCATATGAAGACAAATGGCCTGCACTCACCGGTGTGCGCGTACGAAACCGGTACTTTCCATATGCTGAAGTGAGCCGACACAGATGCAAAGTATTTCCCGAAAGCTAAAGGCAGGATGTACCACTGGTAGTACTTGCTGGGCAGTTCTGATTTGGGGACTCCCCATGCCCGCAACAACGGCGGGAGGAAAACGACGATGGAAATGATATGAAACAGAGAGACTGTGACCGGGTACGGAAATCCATTGAGGATAATTTTGTTGACGATGTTGCCCCCCGAGCTGACCGTGTACCAGCCCACACACAGGAAAACTATCCGGATCCCTTCCCTAACAGGGGGCCGGTCCGCCGCAGCCATCTTCCAGCGCGGAGTGACGAGTCACCGGTGTGGGTGTGTGTGGCTCACCCGGGGAGGGAGGGAGGGAGGCGGCGCTGCTTGACCACGACCAGGAAGGGGCACGCACGGCTTCCGGCGACACGCTTCAGAATAAAAGCATTTAAAGGGTATGCGGTTATTAAGTTAACGTAACAGGCCCCCGAGCTGCAGTCAAATGTGATATATTTGTTGGTGTCATCTGTCATTGAGATATACATTTAAATAAATAAATAAGAAATACTCAGTATACACAATCATATGTGGTGATTTGGAGGTTTATGGTATTTTAAAATGTTTTCAAAATACCTTTTCTCCGGTTTTATTTTGAAATGCCACTTATCTCAGGCCTTAGTATGAATAAATTAGTGAAAGTCATACACATAATATATTAAAACCGGCAAACTTTAGGTCGGAAAATCCTGCATTTAGGGCTGCGTGTAAATCTGCTTGTATAATATAATCATTTCATTTGATTAGTATAAAGACATAACGGTTTCCTCAGTCTCAGTACTCAGACAGTTAATTACCTTATTTTCAGAAACAGCCCAGAAGAGACACACAAACTAAAATAGCACATTGGAGTATGAATGTTTCATTGTTAAGGTACATTTGAAAATGTTACATAAAATCGGGCATATCATTTTTCTGTTGAAGTAATTGATCAAAACAGCTACAATTGTATTAACAAAAGACCAATGCGTGAATCGCTCAATTGTCTCATGAGCTTTGGAATGTTGTCAAACTTCAAGTGTATACTGGGAATAAGTCTAAATTAATTTAAAAGCGATGTGCACATATATTCTACATTTGCCAGTTAGGTTGAAAAAGTATTTGCAAAAAAGCAAGCAATAAACAAACAAGTACAAAGACGACAAGTAAAACTCATTTCATTTTTTTTAATTAACACATAACATGTCCACTTAAAAAAGGACTAAGTAGCAAATATGTTCTCTTCTGCATTCAATGGAACACAAAAGGCTAATTTCTGTACATTCACTAAGGCTCTGTCTTTAGGGAAAACCCAGGTTTCCATAAGGCAAACAATATCTACAGGAATGATATTAAGTACTTTATCCAGCATGTCAACGTCTATCTTCGTTCCTCCTGACAGTACAAAGATGTAAGCAAGTAGCATTAACTGCTCTGCCATTTCAGTTAATATTGTATAGCCTAAATAAACAGTAAAGGGAAAATGCAAGTATAAAATAAAAGTCATATTACAGAATGTGTAATTTTCCTGTGTACGGCAGTTTGGTGCATCAGCAGCATTAGGTTGGACTCTCACTGCTGTATCTATAGACCAATAAATCAAACTAAATCAATAATGTTCAGGCTATACAAAGAATCTTAAAATGATTATGTAAATGGAAATAAATACCATACATGAAAGTCACATTTCATTATCAGCAATGTGCATTTTCAACCACCATACCAGGCTTTCTTGATCCTTCCAAACCTGATCCATGGCACTGTATTGCATCGCATTCAAACACAAGAGCAATACTTAAATATTTTAAAGATTATTTGTCAGTCATTAGTTAGCTAAAAGTGGCTGGACAAGACTGCTTTGCAATGGGTAAACGTTTTTCACAGATAGTTGTTAGTACCAATGGTAATGATGATAGCTCCTTGAAGATAGCATTCACTTCAGCTTAAACAGCCAAATGGCCTTCAAGATGCACAAGGGTAACAAAAACCTCATTAGTCGATGTATCTGTAGGTTGTCCGCTCCAATAAGTAAGAGTTAGGTAACGTCACATTCTACATGACACGTTAATAGCCTAACATGAATAAAATGTAACTGCAGTGTAATGTGCAGTCCTCTCCAATATAAAGAATGGCAGGCTATTGGGAACTCCTTCTGTACAGTTACTGAACAGCCAACACTAAATGTTTTGCTAATGCATAGCCTCAGTTCTTCGTGCTGTCCCAACACTATGTTTAAAAAACTGTCATAAAAACACTGATTCCATTCCCCGTGACACACACACACACACACACACACACACACACACACACACACACACACACACACACACACACACACACACACACACACACACACACACACACACACACACACACACACACACACACACACACACACACACACACTTTGATGAGTGGTGCAAAACAGCAGCTTACACGGAAATTAAAAAAGGGCCTTCAGGCTTGCAGAGTTGCTCCGCTGAACGCTGAAGGAAGTTCACAACTTCCAATTTAGAAACCTTACCCAGATTTAATCCAGACAGACGTATGGCAGTATGTTCAACCTGCTCTCATCTCCATGCAGATCTAAAGAGATGCACTCTGTCCAGTCATACCAGGCACCCTTTGTGTCGTAGCAACCATTAACCCCGGACCAGTGTTGCTTGTGTAATCTGGTCAGGTCCTCTTTGATGACCTCTCTGCTAACCCCCGGTAAATCTATGACTGGGGGTTCTGGTGCCAACACATGTGTTTGCTTGAAATCTGTACTTCGGGGCTCCTCTTTTTTCAAGAACTCTGTCATGAAAAAGTGTGCACCCGGGGTGTTTGCGCCCGACGAGGTCAGCACGTTACTTTGCTGGCTAAGGTACGACTGGATGATATCGCTCCTCGACAGCTCCTTCCAGTCCGTCTGCTGGAAGGGACTAGGGGGGACCGGTGGAGTCTGCTTGGGTTGCTCGGACCGCTGGGTCTCAGGTCTGGGGACCTGTCGGACCCCCTCCTCCTGGCTGGACTCCTTTTGAAAGGATTTTATCTGTCCTGTTACAGGGTCAAATGTCAGTCTCCTGTCTTTTAACCTGACAGGTTTAGTGCCATCATCTATGTTCTGTTCATCTAAAGACATTACATGATCCTTAGATCTATATTTCTGTCTTTTCCTGGTCTCTATTTTGCTAACTTCCCCATCTTCATCTTCCAATCTGCGCACATCACTGCAGGACGAGGCGTAAGACTTGTGAAGAGACGTACTGGGAGGCCTGCTTGGAGAATCCAAATCTGAACAGCCTGTGTGCAAACCCTGAACACAAGCATTGAAAGGCTGGATGGAAGGCTCCATCCCAGAGGTTTCCACAGATGCAGGCCGAACACCGGGGCTAGAAAGAGCCTGTACTGGTGACGCAGTCGCTTTCATACCAGCTTCCTGCTTTGGAGTTTGAGGACTACTGTGCAACGAACAGCGTGGGCTTCTGGGTCGATTCAGCCCCCCGGAGAAAGCCTTCTCCTGTCTGGCTTGTTGCTGCAAAACTGATGCTTTGAGCAGAGAAGACGTGCTGGGAGGCTTGATGTGTCCTGGGGCACTTGGATGAGGTTTTACAGCATTGACTGGGATTTTATTTACCCGGTCATTGTCCAAAGGCTCAGAAATCTCCCTGTCCAGAGACTGATGTGCACGACTATCTGTAATCTCAGAGCTACCACCAATTCCATTGGTTGCCAGCTGTTTGATGTTTTGCATTTTGTCATTAAGAGTTGTTTTGGATATCTTGGCTGGTATGAGCGGTCCTTCTTTCTGGTCAACCTTACGTTTCCTGTTGCTCGTTTTCTCCACCCGCGGAGAGTAGCAATTGTTGAAGTCATTTCTGTTCTTCAACTCTGGACCCGTTTTACCTGATGGTATGGTGGCAGTTGTAGTGGAGATGAAGGGATGAGCGACACCATTGGAAGACCACGATGCACCGCCGTGTCCTTTGGACAGCACCTCCCCCTTTCCTGGTTCAATTAGCTTCTGCCAGTTTCGCAGGAGCTTCTTGGCTCTTTTTGCAAGGTCCTCGTTCTTGGTCTTCTTCCTGACATCGTTGATAAGCTTCCCAAGACGGGTTTCCTTGAAGAAATAAGATTGGTTTAATAAGAGCATTTATAACCACACAAGTTTGAACTGCAAGTCATTTTGTATGCACATTAGGGCTGGGCGGGACACCGGTATCAGATTTCCTTACGGTATGAATTTCTCACGTACTGATCATACCGGTGTTGCGCCATAACAACGGACGTTGGCAGGCAGAAGAATTTATTTTTGTCGCAGGGCACCCAGCGGTCGGAGCTACTTGTCTTACGTGTGTTGAGATTGAGTCATGGTTATAACAACAATGAATAAGCCACAACAAACATTCTTTAACAGGGTAAAACACCACACAGCAGCTTGTGACACAGACACAATTTGTAACACTCATAATTGTACATCTATAAAAATGACCCAGCCGAACTGCATGCTGGGTACAGCTCACAACAACAAGTAACTGTCACTAGCAAAACTAGCAGCCGCAACAAGCTAACATGCTAACTATCTAAATAGCGAACAAGCTAACTCGCCGGCCAGTTGCGAGGTAGTTGGCCAGCGAGCGGCTAACAGCTGTTCGGGGAGCCAGCGGCCCTTTTTGGGGTCAAGGAAGTAATGTGTTTAGTAGAAAAAACAATACCGTCATATACTGGGATACCGTCAGAATCTTTCTAAATACCGTGATATGGATTTCTGGGAATGTAACTCACCTCCAGTGCCTCTTTGGTGATGGGATACTTCTCCAAAAAGGAGATCACCTCCATAACTACCACCATGTTGCATATCTGGTGAAAAGACGCATACATTTATACATCAAAATGCTGAGACAACAAGTTATTGTTAACATTATCACAGCTCCTAGTTGTTTCTATGTAGATGTCGTTCAATGTGTGATTCATAACCTCAGAGGCCCCTCTCAAGTTCCCCAGAGAGAGAGAAAGAAAGGCTGTTAAAAGGTTTAGGCTTGATTTGAATAGACTTTCAGATGTGCACCTGTAGGTCAAGAGTACTGGTTTCAGGCTCAATATGACAAACTTGAGATTGCATGCAAATATACCATTTTCTCCCACAAGAAGATAGACGCGAGCAAAGAGCTTAACGGCGGTAGCGACCATTTGAAAATCCTACAGTGCTGAACCACTGCAGGGAATGTGGTCAATGGTGACTGGTTCAGGCAATGCTGGATTCATTTCTGATTTCGGCATCAATGTTGAATGAAGTACCCATGTTGGCCATTTAATTTGCTGGATTAGTCCCCAAAACGTTAAATGCCCACAAATACCATCTTAAGCTACAGCTCATCAACTTTATACGATTAGTAGTGTTTTTTACAGCACCTTTCATTGTGGGTCAATTACCAGATATAATAGAACGGTTCGACACACTACAAAACTTAAGGTCTTTGTGTCAAATGTTGACTAGATGCGGGGAAACTGGTCAGAAAAGAGCTGTAACTGATCTTCATAAGCAGACTGAACTGCCTGAGAGAGAAGAGTGCAACTAGGTGATTACTCAATCAATGTGAAGCTCCAATAAATCAAAGTCGCTGTCACTAAGGGGCACGACCTCTGGATGGACCCTTACACTTAAGTGTACCTGCTGCCCCAGTTTAAGTATCCAGTCTTTTTAAATGCAAAAATAATAAAAAGCTAACATGGCTACAAGCCCATTAGCCAGCAGGAGTCAGATAGCTATGCGCTGGAATGTCCGTCGTTATAGTTACTTGAGCTAAATAGTGATGTTAGCCGGCTAATTAGCAGGGAAACACTAACTCGTAACACACCGCCTACCCCCACCTGGTCAACCCGGAGTCGCCTCGGCCTTGTTGTCTGCCTTTTACTGCGCCCGGTTCGTGCTCGGGAAACTAGCGGGTCGTACTCACATTGCTCTGGCCGTCGATGGCCTGTAGGAGCCGGTCTCTCATCACCAGCGGAGTGGCCGCAGCCGCTGTCATCGCCTGGCGGTGTCAGGACGGACTCAAGACAGCGGAATCCCCGCCGGAGAGGCGGTGGCAAACCTGCCGACAGTCACGGGCCTAACGGAAGATCTTCTCTGGGAGTGAGCACCATGTTTTATGGTGCTTTTTGTGGTTGTTGTTCGTTTGTTTTCGTATTCGCTGCCGTCACAATGTCACGATTTGGACGACAGCAGCGAGAAAGGTCCCCGGGTTTCGGCTACCCCCCTCGGCTGGCAGCCTGCTCCTCCTCGGTCTACTCATTGGGCTTTTTGTGAGGAGCTCGCGCAGAGCATCATGGGAGAATGTTACGTAATCAATTGTTCACATCCGTTCAGCGATACAGCCCACAAGAAATATGCACACGTACATGGAAAGATGTCATGTTATTTTAAACAATGGTGTGGTCTACACGAGAAAGGGGATTCAGATATATATATTTTGAGTGAACTCCTGTTTTTTACCGTAAAATAAATTGTAATTTTTACTGGTATGGATAATTCCATTGTTTATGCAAACCTTATATATTTGATTTCTTTCCAAGAGTATGATAAATGCAATATTATTCTATTAATGCACATTTAAAAAATGTAATCAATATTACTTTACTTTTTCTTATATATAAAATCACACAGAATACAAGAAATTGATTCCTTTCTATTTTTTTAATCTCCATTATAATCACGACATTATTAAAGCATAACAGCTGGTAGATGTGTAGATGTTTGTACAAAGGAGATGTAGAGTTCATTAAGTGACAATAGTGAATTCAGCTTAATTGTGACGGCTAAGCTGATGATCGTGGTACGTCAACAGATTCTCCACCAGCTTTTATTGATTTGCTTCCTGCAGGACCCTTTATGATGACACACAGGTTACAAATCACATATAAACATTTTCCCTCCTGTCAGTAAAAGTTATCCCTCATTTTCGACCCTGCTGTTTCTTTTAAAGAAAACTCTGGAGGCTGAAGAAAAAAGCTCATGTTTTAAAGAGGCAAAGGGACACATGAAATACACATCCAGCGAAAGCAAGGGGTGTAGTTACAGCTTGATCAAAATGGGTACAAATGTAACACGTTCTGTAGGACAAAATAAATACAATAAATTCCTGTACAGCCAGAAGCAGATTTACAATTTGGGGTTGTAAAGAAAATTCACCTTAATTACAGTTGAAAAGGGACACTAGAACATCAAACCCAGAGTAAGGAAACGTTTAAAGAATCCACTGTGGAAAATCAGCATTCTGATGGAAGTCCATTTGCCAAAAATGTTGATCAAGACCCAAACAATCTGTCAGGATGGAAGACAACGACAGCTAGTTAGATAAGCAACAATTTCATTACTTTCTAGTACCATTTTAAAGTATATTATGAGACATTTATGGAAATCACAAACTAAAACGCAATTGAACAAGAAGAAGGATGAAAGAAGGAAACTGGGCTTGCAAACATAAATATGTTGCTGGATGACCAGCATCCACTTCCATTTGAATACTTACATGACCATACAGAACATTATGAAGATATTCCATAAAGCGATGAAGATTCGGAAGTATCGCAGGCTGAGCAGAAACTCTCTGATGTTGTCACCTAAAAGACACAATTCCATGCTGCAATGCTGAACTTTGAGAAGTGCATTTAACTGCCACACACCGTTTTGAGATTATTTCTTCCCACCACAGTGCACGCACACACACACACACACACACACACACACACACACACACACACACACACACACACTCTACCTGTTGTCGGCGATCTGGACTCATCTCCAAACCCTTGAGATTCCTTCCCTTTGCTGCAAAACACCCAGTTTCACTTAGGATGGTTGCTTTATTAAATTAAGATTTAAAACCGCGTTTTAAATGCGTTAAAACCGTGTGACCGTAGCGTTGATACTCACAGCTTGAAGTTCAGCACAGCCCCTGCATTCACCAGTAAGGTCCTAAAGAGAGCAGATAGATAAACGGTTTGTTGATAGGTCAAGTTAATAGTTGTCTGTGCTAATGCTAGCTGGTGAGCTTTAGCACAGCACAGCTAGCTTGCTGTTTAGCTAGCTTAACACAAAGCAGCAACCTATTGGGGAAAAAAACACACGGGAAGATCCTTTCTTCTAAAACAAAAGTATATGTTAATAAAACATGTCAGAAACCGCACAGATTACCCGAATATCAACAGATCTCCGATCATTTTTTCACGTCACAGAGACGCCTCACTTCCGTGTTCGTTCACGCAATCAGGAATCTGACCAATCATGTCTCAGAGCTCTGCTGCGCTGTTGTTCCCGGATGTCGACTGTTGTGCCGTCAACGTGTGGCTGACAGTATGTGGTTTTGGTCGTAGCAACAATACATTATATAACGTGGCAGAAGCATGGTTGAATACAAACCTAATTTGTGGATCTATGTGATGTCAAATAATCAAATGATTTCCCTCACAACCTTAGATAGTAATTTCGAAACAAGGATTCATTTGATATTTCATGTTTTTTTTATCACAGAGCGTAAGTTAACTAAATAAAACAATAATCAATAACAAAAATATCAGGAAGCAATATGTCCAACAGATATGGATACAGTTAAAAAACACTATGGAGGGTGAAATGGGGGGAGGGGAGGCACCATTTTCTTAAATGTTATCTATTCTGCTAGCTACATATTGTTTATTTTTGTATGAATATATTTTAATCGCTCTAACTTAAAAATAAGGAATTTTAAGTGAAAGGGTCATTCAGACGGAAGGCAATTAAAACCAGAAGATTTAAATTTAAATTTCGGAGATGCGAGTTGTCAATGTTGTGGCCGCAGCGCCGCCCCCTTGTGGTTGTAAAAGGTCATTGCATTGACTATTGTTCACAATGATTAAAAGCCCAAAATAGAAAGGTAAATACATTTTTAAAAGACTTAAATAAATACAATTCGGTGGCTGTTTACTTATGCATGTTTCGGCACTACACCACCTCCAATCCCACCACATGCCTGCATCGTCTGCAAGAATATAAACCGGCGTTGGCATCACTAAATGTCCGCTGCAGCCTCGATGCAGGGTCCGATCCGGATTGTGGGATATTTTCATAAGAAGTGACGAAGGACACTCTGTCCGCACTGAAGCGTTGGTCGCTTGTCTCTGCATTCGTTGTGTTTCTACGCTGCAATCAAACCTGTGATCGCGTTGAGACTCAGTGAAATAACGCTTCAGTCGACGATGGACACCGAAGGAATAAAGCTTTTTTTTTTTTCAATTTCAAGCAGCTGACGTCGACCTCCTGTCGTCTAACACGCGGAGCAGCTGGCAGGCTCCGCACATGATGATGAAGATGATGATGATGCTGAGGCTGTGAACATGAGTGGTATTAATAGCAGGGCTTGGGTGTCACAGGATTTCCACTGTTGAGGGGTTTGTTGGGAGAGTCGGTGGTCGAGCTTTGGGGGGCTTCAACGATCCAGACTGCGCAGTCGGAATAACAATTTGAAGAACAAAGTAAACAATCAAAAATACTAAACCGACAACAGGCAACATGGAAGTTCTGGCAGCTCTCAATTTGGGCGATTTTGCCCAAGTTTTCTCCAAAATGGGAATGTTCCCCGTGTTTGATCTCGCCTACTACATAGTGTCCATTCTCTACCTCAAGTATGAGCCAGGTCAGTGGGTTTTACACTTTTCTGCTTGCTGTTTTTTAAATACATGAGGCTATTCTTCATTATTAGATACATCTGATTATATATAAGCTATAAATGGTCAGGTAACCTATGCCTAACATCGGAAATTACTGTGAGGAAATGAATGTGCAGGTTGACCTTCTGTATTATACCCAAACTTTGTGAGATTAAGATATCCCTGCAGAGACCTTCTGTAGCTGTTATCTCGATAGTACCCGGTCCTTATAAAGCATGACCTGTTACATAAACCCAGGAGCACTTTAAGCTCTGCCTGCACGGTGTGAGGGAATGTCTGTTGCTGCAGCAGCAGCATGACCTCGTTTACACAGAGGAAATCACCGGAGTGGATTAAACCACTCAGCTTTGGGTGAAGCCTGATATTTTCTAAGATTTAACTTATTTGAGCAACAGGGCCAGAGGAGCATGACACTCGAGAGAAAAGCCCGGGCATACCAGAGACTTAGGCAATAAATAGAAGATCCTGAAATAGACAGCGTCGGTGGGCCTCCGAAGCCCCTCTGCTTGGGGCTGAAGACTACGAGCTGGAAAATGGAAGGACAGTCTGGTGGTGTGAAGCCTGCTGACTGTTGTCTGCTCCTCATCTCTGCTGGAGTCTATACGTTAAACGACCTTCGCACAACTCACCTGAATACCAGACCCCACACCTTCGGGGGTTGGGTTGCAGTTCTGGTAAAGCAGGTCCCAGGTTTTGATGAAGAAGCAGAACGTGTGGAAAAATACTATACTACTACTACTACTACTACTACTACTAATTGTCTATACTGTCCATCGTGGCTCCAACCATCTTAAAGGAGAGCAGTCACAATGACGTAAACGCAGTTATTACTGTTTTAACAGTGTCAAAACGTGAAACTATGCCGGCTCTCACGGTGGTGGAGTGGAAGGGGACTCGGCTAATGTTACTTTAAAAAACATTTGTTTCATTCCTTTTTTAAATGAACAGAAAAATATGTGATTCAAACAATTAGCATCTGTGGGTTTTAAGGATTTTAAATCCATCATTAACTCACGCTGTTGTGGCTCAATTGTAACACGCTGCCAGCAGCTGGACTTCCTGACTGTAACCGTAAACCTTCACTTTACTCCACATCTCATTTGGCAGTCAAATAACTCACAGTGCCGCCATTTGCAAGATCTTTTAATCACCACCATTTCCTACATGTGTCCAAACAGAGAGTCCCGGTTCGTGTTAGAGGAGCACATGAATGAGTTTCCGCGGGCGTCAAAGGTCAAGACAGGCCCGACAGTTGCAAGGCAGGAGAAGCAGTTGAGCAGAGTATATTTTTAGGGAAGCATTTCTCAGGATCAGATTGCTTTCAAACTGAGCACCAGTTTCACTGCAACACCCTCACCCACCTGCTGTTGGAGATTTGCGCTCTCTTCACGTCTCCTTTTTCTACATTTTTTCTAAATGTCTCTGACGGCGTTGTAGCGCTGTAAATTCTTTACTTCAATAGTAACATATAGTCCTTAAATTATATCTATCTTTGCATATAAATATACAATATGTGTGTCGTTGGTCCGTAGTGTTCACATTTCCTACATTATAGTAGTAGTTCTTCTAAATGAGTTATTGTTACATCAGGACACTTCAGCTACAATACAAAGTAAATTAGTATATTTATTTAAGTTCCGTACTAAAGAAGACCTTTGAAGTTCTTGTATGTCACAAAAGTATTTCCATTTGGTGCCACTTTACTTATGCTTCAATCCCATTACATTTCATTTTTCACAGTTTTACTCATCAATACATTTATTTTACAGCTTTAGTCACTTTACAGATTAACATTTATAAGTTTGTTCTGCTTCCCAAGTGAGAATTAAGTGTAAAACAGCACCTTCTATGGTTAGCTGCCATTTATCATATCTTACGTACTCATTTGGAAATGCGGTCAAACTGTTTACTGGATATATATATATATATATATATATATATATATATATATATATATATATATATGCATGTAATATTATAAAGAGCTGTTGTGCTCAAGTCTGTTGATGTTAAAGACTCAGTTATCTAGTAAAAGTTAGTCAACAGTCAACTCATAAATCATTAGGCGGTGATGGTGGATTATCAGGGCGTGAAGTGAACTGGTCCACTGGGCGGGGACAACGACACAGCTCACAAACACACAAGGGATCCGCTGATAATGACTCAACAGTTTGGCTGTTATGGAAGTAACGGAAAGCTTTTCAAGTGATGATGGAATTGATGAAGCTTTTCAATCAAACCCTTTTGACTTTCTCCAAATAGAACAAACACAACTGCAGAAGGATGTTTTGGTCAGAGCCTCTAAAACAGGATCAACAGTACAGCATCAGAACTGATCAGATCATTAAGAGGCTGTAATCATCATCGTGGTTTTTCAGGGGTAAAATACCCCATCTTTACATTAGATGTAGAAAACTTCATTTTTTGAGTTTGAGTACAAATAAAGGAGAAATGTGAGTTCATTTATTAAATGCATTGAAGTCTTTTTGACTTGTATTTGGAAAAATAAAAACCACGTAGAGCATGTTTGAAACATTTAACCTAATAATAGTTCCAAATTCCAATAATTCCAAAGAGGGGATTCCAGATTGCTAATAGTTTCTCTATTTCTATTCCTCTGTGTTTCAATTATCTACTTTTAATGAATCATTTGATCGTGTATTGTGATTAACAACTGATGAGGTCAGTAATTTGTGACACAAATAATATGCAATGAAAATTGAATCCATCAGTATTTCATATTATTTTTCAGCAGCTGTTGTAATTTAGAAACCTCCAAACCATCTGAAATTCAGTAAAAGCCCCAAACAGGCTTCACAACAAATAAGACTCAATAAACGTTCACCTCTGACCCAACTCACTGTGTTGCAGGCTCAGTGGAGGTTTCTCGCCGGAGTCCCGTGGCCTCCTGGCTCTGCGCCATGCTCTACTGCTTTGGTAGTTACATCCTGGCGGACATCATGCTGGGGACCAGCCCCCTCGACTATTTCCAATACAACAGCCACATCCTGCTGGCTTCAGCTGTCTGGTGAGAAAGAAGAGAGAGAAAACACTACGATTCTTAGCTCGTCAACGAAAGACATATTCATGAACGTCGTCTTTCCATCTCTGCCAATAGAACCAAATCCTACACGCTGCTCCTTTAAGACACATGCGATATTTACCATCTCCTCCCTCGTCGTCTTTCGCAGGTACCTCATCTTTTACTGCCCCCTGAATCTCTTCTATAAATGCGTGGCGTTCCTGCCCGTCAAGTTGGTGTTGGTCGCCCTGAAGGAAGTCGTCCGCACTCGTAAGATCGCCGCCGGTGTTCACCACGCTCACCACGCCTACCACCATGGCGTTTTCATCATGGTCATCGTGGGATATGTCAAAGGTCAGTGTTTTGAGTTGTAAATGTGTTTATAGGGAAGTGACCTGTGTGACAGGGCAGGTGCATATTATGTAACATCACAGTTTCAGATGAGCAAATACTGTTGTGACACAAAATCCATTAATGTTTAAAATGTTTTTTTAATCAATTTTCAGAACAACAAAAATTAGTTCTGTTATTCCACAAATGAGAATGAGAGACAATGAATAAATGCATTATGATTAAAAACATGAGTTTCTTTTAGCGTCTTTTTGTTCAACTATTGGCAGCTTTTCCTTTAAGACATTTGACCCGCAACTAACGGTTATTGTTCATCTATTTTCTCAATGAGTCGATTAATGGTTTTGTCTGTGAAATTTGGAATAAATTGTGAAAAATGCTTTTCCGAAAACACAAGGTAATGACATCATATAGAGATATTTAGTTTACTATTCCATACAACTAATTAAACCAGTAAAACAACTGCAAATGTAGGCATTCTTGTTAAAGAATGAATTTGATGGATGACCATAATTGTTACAATTTGTTATATGCAGAAATGAACTATAATAGTAATCGTTTCCATTTCAGGAGAAAGCCTTGAACTGTTGTTGCCGAGCCTTCGGATCACTGTGTTGAATGACAGCTGCACTCAGGGAGCCTCCCTGTCTAAAGATGAATGAATGTCACATGTTCATGCCAGTGTGCATGTGACATTCATTCATGTTAGACTGTTCACAATCAGTATGTTTACATGCACTTAAGTACGCAGGTTACTGAGAGAAACTATCATATGTGGATAATCTGAGAAGAAAACAGAAAACTCCCATATGGGCAATATTTACGCTTGAAACAATTAAACCCGTATGTCTTTTTTTCACAACTAAACCACATGTTTTATGTACTTTTCACTGTGAAACTATCCAATAATATAGACATGTCTATAGAAATAATGATTACAGTTGTGCTGGTGTGCTCATTGAACAGTGCGGCCCTGCTGGCGTCCACGTGTGCAAACAGTGGGAGGAAAGCTGAAGTCTAATAAGAGCAGCCATACAAAACACAGACTTTTTTATCCCCTCTCATTTTTTTCACTGTCTATTTTTATCTTCGCAGGCTCTGGGGTGGCTCTCATTTCCAATTTCGAGCAGCTGCTGCGCGGCGTGTGGAGGCCCGACACCAACGAGATCCTCAACATGTCATTGTAAGTCGTAACCAACGCACCTCTGGCTCCTTCGGCATGAGGGCTTCCCAAAGAAACATCAGAGACAAGACCTAAGGGGGGTAGTGGCAACACAAAATACTGTCAGCCTTCATGGGGAAATCACAAAGTGAAGAACTCAATGATTGTTTGACTCTAATGCCCCCCAGTGGTAACATCCCAAAGGTATTTGGACAGATTGTAAAGGACCCGAAGCACAAAAGCTCTTAATGTGAAGCTATTTAAGCTTCAATCAACACCTTCAGCTAAACATTCAATCTAAATGTCAATGCAAAAATAATCAGAATATTTAAAGTTTCTTAAATAGCCATGTTGACCATAAATAATAAGTTCATTTAACGATATAGAGTTAGATTAAAAGTAGCTTTTCTCTCGTCTCTGCAGCCCCACCAAAGCCAGTCTGTACGGAGCCATCCTCTTCACCCTGCAGGAGGCTCACTGGCTGCCAGTGTCCAAGAGCACCCTCATCCTCATCTTCACCCTCTTCATGGCCACCAGCAAGGTAAGATCAGCCTTTTGGACTCAGACGATGACCAGAGCAGTTCATGGAAACACAGCACTGTCCTGCTGACACCTGCAAAAGAGCAGCAGCAAGTTTAGAAAAGAAGAAGGAAAACCCACAGCTTTTATTTTAGTTCGGTACTGTAGACGTGAATGTTGTTTCAATCAGCTTGCCGTTTTGTTTGTATCTTGCCTCAAGTCTTGGATTTAATCTATTTGATAAAAATAATGTTTTCAAGATATGTGTCAGGCTCCAGAATAAACAGAAGAATAAAAATCCGGTTATTCTCCTCCACCCGACACAGGTGGTGTTGACAGCACGACACTCTCATGGCTCCCCCTTCGCCCTCATCGAGTCCTGGGTTTGCCATCTGCTGTTCGGTTCCCCTCTGGGCGGATCTGAGGAAGAGCACCAGCATCCCCCTGCTGCCGTTCCATCTTCACCTGTCAAAACCAGGGAGGACGTGGGCGAAGGCACGCGCAAGAGGAAGGCCAAGAAAGCCGAGTAGGACGCAGAGCTGGGAGCTGCATCGCGGCCTCCACGTGGTGGGACCTCCCATTCCTTTCTAGGGGAAAGGGGTAGAGACCCTTTGTATTAGAGCAAAATGGTGCTTTCTGCATTCTACACCGAACGAGGACTCTGTAAATACCACAGCAAAGGCTCCACACTTACCGACCCCGGACATTTTAAACCTATTTATTTATGTGCTCGTGAACATCTGCGTCCGCGCTCCACGCCGTGCGGTGATCCACGTCCAGCAGCTGGTCGTATCAGGATGGCCTCTGGTCAACACATCAGTCGCTGTGTTTCCGTACGTCTGGGATTTTCTTAAAGTCCACCACCGAAACTTATTTCAGTTAAGAAAGATATAGAAAACACAAACGAATCTGACCCTCAATCCGAAATTCAAATGTGAGTGAAGCATCGTGTGAAAGAACATTGATGCTTTTTACATTGTCATTGAATAAAATCAAGAGAATCATTGTGTCTCTGTGTTTTTTGATTTCCTATTCGTATTGGCATGTATGTCTATGTTGACTATTCAGAAGTAACAAAATATTTCATTGCCTCACATGTTGTTTAATCATCTCTGCGTTTTGGATTATGCAACTTTCACTACAAAGTTCTATTACTATTTGCGAGCGCACACCAGTTTCTGTCTTGCACTTACTCAACGCAGGTTCAGGAACCAGTTGGGAGAATGTTTGTTTTCTGTTGTGTCACTTTGAGGCTGTCGGGAGGTTTGCAGGAAAGGTCTCAGGTCGCGTCCGCAGAAACCTGGACGCCTCCCGACACATTGACAAACTCTTGGACAAGCAATAAAACATCACTAATGAACTTTGCAGGAGGTTGTTACACCTAACCTTTGACCTTGACATTCCTCTTCCTCTCTTCTGGGAGGTAAAAGATCTGTTTGCTGCTTCATCCTAAAAGTTTTGTTTTCCACTTTCAGAGGTTACAAAAGGGTATTCTGTATCCTATACTATCTGTATTAGGTATGCTATGAAACTTTATTGATGATAAAACATGAATTAAAATTGAACTTGTCATTTTTAAGTTTTTAAAGATATTACCTTTATTTAGAATTTCTCTAAATTCCTTTTGATTAAAATGAGCAGCTGGGGAAGCATTAAGTCTTGTAATTAACTATAAACAGTACAACTTGTTTTCGTTGGAATAAGATGATAAAGATTAAAAAACATGGTTTTAACAACATATAATTAAAGGTTTATAATGAATCAATTGTTCAATGCATCATTAGATAAAACACATTATTACAAGTGGGATTCAAATCATATAATGACTTCTGTCCAGTGCAACAAGAGATCTCACAAATATGATCTTTCTTCCTCTTTGGGGGGTAAAACATCCAGGTCTCCGGCTGGATGCCAGAAATAAGACGCCCCTGCTCTTTTGGGCAAGGCAGCGAGCAGGCGAGGGGAAGAACGGAGGGGGGCTTATCAAAGTAATCCGGGATAAATACTCCGAAACCTTCAGCGCAAGGGATGAAACCAACATCTGCTGATCCTATTACACAAAACACACACTCTCTGTCTCACACGCACGTAAACATGGATTTGTCATAAAACATACTAGACTGGAACAAAGCCTATTTTCAGATGTGAAATCTGAGTAGTGCTTTTCAGTGTTATTCTGTTTTTATGATTCATTTAATTGCATCACTAATTAGGGTAAAGTAAAATAGTAGAGAAAATAATTGGTGGTTTAAATTAAAATTTGAACAAATCTAAAGCGTGTTATCTTTTGTTTGTGATTGCAAAAATACATCATCCTTTTTAAGTTAAGCAAGAAACCATGAAACAACAGGCCAGTAAGTCAATTATCCAGAAAACCATCCAACACAATAGCTAACTTAAGGGAGGCGAATAACAATCAACCAACAAAAAGAGATTTCAAAAAGAAATTCACCGTCAACTCTCAAAATTGTCAAAAATTAAGCTGTCCAACAACGACAGAATGAAGTCACTTTCCTACAAATAAACCTCTATAACTTCAACAGAACAACGCAGACGTTAATGTGTTGTGCATTCAAAGACCTATTCCTGTTACTCCAACCTTTCCACAGAGCAGATTACAGATGAGTTTTAGGGGAAAGCATGAGGACGTCAGCCAGTCAGGGGAGAAGAAGTCTGGGTGTGTGTGCGTTCTTACATTTACGCACGCGTGTGCGTGTGGCGGGTTATAAAAAACAAAAAAAGAGTGCAGGATGCAGGTTTGCTGGAGGAGCGCTGAGTCTGGAGGCAGAGGGGACGGAGATGTACCTGAGAACAGACTAAACCATGCTGTGGTTCCTGGTGCTGAGCTGTGTGCTCTCCATGGGAGGACACACTGCAGCAGCACAAAGAGGTGAGAAAAAGGATTTATATTTAATTCATTATGTATTATTTCATTATCTTTGGAATGGGCTGTGCGAAATGTGGGAAACTACAAAGGGCAACAAAATGTATCTATCTGGGGAATTAGAGGTTTGGGAGAGAACAGCTGATGAATTACATTTACCACCGGCTTGCCCCACAATTATTATTCAATCTGATACCGTGAAAATTAAGAGATGGGAAAAGCACAATGCCTGAGATGGATGCGAACTTAAACAGAGGTTTCAAACATCCTCTGAATTACAATTCACCTTTGTTCCTTTAAAAAAAAAAAAGGATTAAGTATATTCATGTTTGTCCTCTGTGGAAAGCCTTTCCGATTACTCTCCTTGTGCACGATAAGGAAAAACAATTAACGACAGCTTACTGTAATGGATGAAAAACACGCTCCCACACGTTCCTGTCACCAGCCAGAGTGATTTATCTCCAGCGTCTTGTTTCTCCGCTGTGGAATCCTTTCTGCAAACAGAGTTGCCACTAATGCGAATAACACATTTCCTGTGCCTGATGTTGCGGGGGTCTCTGCGCTCCCCCCCGGCTCCTCTGGGGAAAGCGCTTACAGTCGCCGGGGGTCAATTATCACAAGCACCATGTTGCTCCAGGATGTGAACTCGCCTGAGCATCCCGTCCTCTGATAAGATTCATGAAACTCGTCTTGTGAGGAAGCTTCAAACATTTATCTTCCAGGAATCTCGCATCATTCCATACGTGGAAAATCTATTTTGCAGCTGCAATCCAAAGATCTCAGACTCTAGTGAATGTGTGGGAGGTGAATACGAGCTGGGGTTGGCTGAGGAACCTCAGGTATTAGGCTTTGGTATTCAAAAGGCTGGAAATGGTGCATGTGAGGATCCGCACAATGGGAGGACGAATCAGCTGGTTATATTTGGTTGTGAAAAGTGTATCTTGAAATGGTTGTTATGATTTATTTTTCCTTTTCAGATGGAGAAATCATCAGTCAGATTAAAATGACGAACATGGCCCTGGCTGAGATAAAAGAGCTTCTGTCACAACAAGTAACGACAGTTTCAACATTTAGACAGCGAGCAGGAAGCTAATACGTATCTGTCCATGATGCTCATGATCTATATTTGTAATTAGTAGGAAAACAAAGATTTGCATAGAGATTGGAACCGAGAAAAGTGATTAAATACATTTTCTTATTAATATATTTTATTAGAATTATAAGCTGACATACTATTGTCATCTTAGGAAAGCCCATTGATACGTGACCACTTTGTCTATTTCTATAAATATAATAAAAGCGTGATATTAGATTCGGCCTCGGGGTATCACAACATTTTTTTACCGCTTGTTTTCCCAGATTAAAGAGGTAGTATTTCTAAAGAACTCAGTGATGGAGTGTGAAGCCTGCGGTGAGTTGACTGCTTTCCTTCTGCAAACGGATTTTCTATTTTAATATTCAATGTTGCTCCAAAACTTTTGTCAGCTGAATTTGTGGCTTCTTCTCGTAAAAGCCAACGACAGCTACATTTTGTACCTTTCAACACAGTTTGAACACTTCCTGAATTGTTCAGGAACTCTTCTTTGATCGTTTTCCAGGCTTGTACAAGAATAATAGAAACCTAAAACAACATTAATACATGTTGATGGGTGCTTCATGTTACCATACTGAGCTTTGAAACTGCCGCATCCACAGCCACACATTTGACACGAAGCTTCTCTCTTCTCAGCTATGGGAGGAATCCAGCCCCGTCCCTCCTGCGTGCCCAACCCCTGCCACCCGGGGGTGAAGTGTAAGGAGACGCCTCAGGGTGTGAAGTGTGGCGATTGCCCTGACGGCATGGAGGGCGACGGCGCACACTGCACCGATGTGGACGAGGTACGCAGACACAGAGTTTCTACTGTTCTCACTCTCTCACTTCTCTGGTGTCCACCCAAAAGACGGTCGGATAAGAAGGGACTGGCCCCCTCTGGCAATACAATAAACAATACAAAGCGCATTGAGATATAGTCGGACACACTGTTTTTATTATATTATTATTAAAAACGGATTAAAATGAATTCATAGTTACGCACGTGATGACTGGTTATACAATATAGGTGAGAAAGGAGGTAGGGATCAAACTCTCTTTCTCTTCATTTCCTTTTTTTTTAATCCTTTGCAAAACTTTATATTTTTCATGCCCAAAACCTTGTGAAAGACTTTCTGAAACTCACCCTATTTAATCAAACACATCTCGCCCCCCTGTTGCCGACAGTGTGCGGCGATGCCGTGTCACATGGGCGTGCGTTGCATTAACACCTCCCCGGGTTTCCGCTGTGGAAGCTGTCCTGCCGGATACACCGGCCCGCAGGTCCAGGGCTCCGGCCTCGCCTACGCCACCGCCAACAAACAGGTCAGCAGCGAACACGCAAACACTGTTTGTCTGTTCAGACTCACTACTACCGCTACGACAAAAGAGGAAAACAATGGAAGAAATGTTTCCCAATGATTTGTGAGTGTATTTCTGTCGTGTTTGACCGTGTTACATATCTTTCTTTATGTATTGATGCTTAGTTGGTTGGTTCTGTGTATGTTATCAAAGTACATTAGTTTTTAAAGTTGTGTTTATTGGCACTGGTACATAGACAGTAATAATAACTGTCAACTGTCCTGAGAGTTGGTTTGTGTCTACAGTTTCTTACTGAAGGCCTTTTTGTTAATTCAAAAGTGAAGCCAAAGACAATTATCCATTATTTTAGGTCATTACTTTTCTAACAAACTACTATCTTAAACTATAATCCACGACAATTGATTGTCCACAAGATTGATAACTAAATGTTTAGTCACCTGCAATAAAACATTTGAAATAAGCTGTGAAAAGAACCAAGAGGCCAATCTATTCATTCAAATAGTATAATTCTGTTACATATTGATGATTGTTACATATTGAAGTTTTTTTTTCTGCCTCGATGTAGAAGATCATTGAAGTTATCTAACGTTCTCTCTGTCTGTTTTTGTCCTGTCAAGGTGTGCAAAGATATCAATGAGTGTGAAGGCCTCAACAATGGAGGCTGTGTGGAGAACTCGGTCTGTATGAACACCCCTGTGAGTATAAACAATAGAATAAAACGCTGACTGG